GTGGCCGATCCCGAGTCCGAGTCTTGAGTCCGAGGCCGAGTCCGAGTCGTGAGTCCGAGTCCGAGTCCGAGTCGTGACTCGGACTCGCCCATCTCTGGTTCAATGGGATTAATTATGTGATTTAACAACCACATTAAATTTAATTTAATGTGGTAGTTTGGTTGTCATGCACTATTCGAAACAAAGCAAAAGGATGGATCAGGTGCATCTGTGTTTGTAAGATATATTTTTTCTTCACCAAACAAAAATCATCTAGAATCCTGGATTCAGTATGTTATATGTATTTATTTGCTTGTTTTAGTCTCGAGACTGTAAATCCAGCATATAACACAGTAAATCTCGAAATCGAAGACGTGAATTCTTAATCATCGGTTCCTGTCAGCGTGGAGACATATCCCGATCGGGCGTACTTCCTAATCGGGATATATATCCCGTTCTGGATATCCTATTTTACAGCAAAAGTTTTTTGATATCCCGAACGGGATATAGTTTAAAATTATATCCTGATCAGGATATAATTCGATATCCCGATTGAGATATAAAAAAAATCTATATCCCGATCAGGATATAAAAATATTTTTGTTGGTTAGTGTAATTTCTAACTTTCACATTAACATGTTTCTCATCAAATGTAATTAGTCTTAAAGGGGTATTGCCCTACCAGGCATTATGAGTATAAATGAGTTTTAAACAAGTTGTGGTTCAATTACAAAAATATAAGGCAGTTTATCTACACGAAATACTGCACGTGTACTTATATGTTGTCATGAGAAAAGAAATATGTGTTTCAATATTTGCGTTTATCGAAAACGAAGAAATAGAAAAAGACGGTCGTGTGGAAAGCGATTAGATTAAGAGTACATTTCATTCTGAACAATAACAGGTTAACCGTCTATTTCCCGATATAAAGTCGACTAAAATTTGTTAAAAATTTGTATTCGAAAAAATAGTTGCTGTGAGCTTGATACACTTTTGATCAAACACAGCAGATTTCGCTGTAGTTTTTTGAGCTCTTTCTAATGGTGATGTCAGTCTTTCCCCATACCGTCGTCATTTTTCCCGTAATCGTTTTCACGACGAAATTTTATGTTTTATATCGCGATCGGGATATTAATTCAATTAAAATTTGTTAAAAATTTGTATTCGAAAAAATAGTTGCTGGGTGCTTGATGCAATTTTGATCAAACACAATAGAATCCGATGTAGTTTTTCGAGCTCTTTCTAATGTTTATGTCAATTTTTCCCCAAAACGTCATCATTTTCCCCCTAATCGTTTTTACGACGAAATTTTGTGTTTTATATCCCGATCGGGATATTAATTTTTTTCTATATCCTGATCGGGATATAGCTATATCCCAATCAGGATATAGAAGGTGTTCCCTTACTGCCTGTAGTCATGTGAAAACTTCTTTTCTAGAATTCAAGTTTGAGGAGAAAGAAGATTGATTGATTATTTTTAAAACACATTCAATTTTGTAGAGCATATGACGCTGCATATAGTAAATACTCAGGATACGTATGCCAGTATGTATATGAATTCTTGAAATTGTGCGATTCTACTTGATGTAAAGTTCGTATCGGTAGTCATTGTGTATTTAACATATGCCATTCAGATAACATTATCACAGCACCAAACATTGTACACTAACTCACTTTCATCCTACATCCCATCCGTCAAAAGATTGCGCGAATGTCAAGTATTCATAAACGCACTTTTCTTTCCCATTAGACCGAGCCTCCGATTGCAATTTCCTGAAAAAACAGGAAAGAGGATTGGAAATTCTTTTTAAAGAGGATTTGAAGTAAAACACGAGGAATGAGTTTTTCAGCCTGAGAATCACTCTCACGCATCATTTTAGGTCAGAACTCGACTTATCAAGTATCGAGTGTCTGTATCAGATTCCTGTTTTGCTGAAAAAAGGACGTTTTCTCCTCAACCATATGAACCAAATCTGAAATAATAAAAGAGAAACAAATGAGCACTGAAATGTAATTGTTTCTGAACAACATCTAAAACGGAAATTATATAAGCAAGAAAATAGTCGATCTTTTTTTCTATGTCAGTTTCCATGCAGTTTTTTTAATGATTTCAGTTCCTCTGCATTGTTTTTATTAACATAACACTCGAATTTATAGAAAATAGAAAATACACCTCATAATTGTTTTGATTTACTGTGCATTCTTCTCGGTGACTGGCAGCAAAACTTTTATCAGATCGATGCAGACATTGAGTGATGAGTGTTGTTCACGCCAAACTAAGGGCTTGTTATACGCGCTAAGCGTATAAATTTTGTTCTTTTACTTTTCAGATATGTTCTTTCAAGGTTATTCCTATGAATGAATATATTTTAGATTTTGTTGCTTTTTTCTAAAATTCTTAAAAAAAAGAGGAAAACGAGGATGAATCGGAGGCCAATATTAGACATCTCATTCATCACTAACCATGACAAAATGACTAACTCTGCATATGAAGTCTTCTAAAATCATAGCTTCACTTGAAGATAATCTTATCCATTTATTCAAGCGTTTTTTTCAAGGGGGAAAAGGCGGAATGGGCCATTCCATACCATTCCAAACATTTTTGACCATTTTGGAATGGTATGGAATGGCCTGTTCCAACCCATTCCGTATCATTCTATATCATTCCAAAACGCTTTTTCCCCCTTGGTTTTTTTCGTACTGTCATCGAAGTAATTCCAATGTCAGCACTAATATTACTGTTGAAGTGTAAAAAAATACGTTCCCTCTGATATCAGCTGTCATTAAATAAGAATAAAATTTCGAGCTCCTTGACGGAAACGTGACGATAATAAACTGATTTCGTATGAGTGAAATCAGCAATTTTGCATACATAAAACAGTCGCCGCCTATAACTCACATCAGAAGAATTTTACCGTCTTCTAAAATAGCGAATCGAGTACCGGGGGACTGCTCAGAATTTGTCCCGAGATCTTTTTCGCTTACGTAATAGACTATTTTTCGCATTTGTAAAATCCAACGTTCCACACTTATATTTCACATCTTGGGATATGTAGTCTGTCTATTATTTCGTTGTACTTTCTTATTCCTGTTATACGTTTTTGATAGTGTATTTTGATCTTTTAGTCCCTTCAGTCTTTATACGGTCGACATGTGATTGACCGCAACTTGTACCTCACTAAATGACGAAAGGAGTTTAAGCAACAATTGTAATTTTTCAGGAAAGTATCCTACTTTGAGCAAAACACACCTCTTATACAACGGAAATATCTTATTCAAAACAAAGTGAAGAATAACTTTGTTTTATGTCAAACTGAAGCAGTTTCGATGCTTTTACGATCGAGCATCAAAGAACTGTTTGAGATTACAAGTTAGGATCAGCACTTTCGAACTTTGAGAGCCAACCTCTCGAAAATTCAAAATCAGCTTTTTGAGATACGTTTATCCCAGATACTAATCAACTAGGACTATAAAAGCATCAGCTCTTAAGTTCATCTATGTCGCTCACAGGAAGACGATTTGCAGAATCTACGTAAAATTCTGACCTCTAGTTAGACAGTGTAGCTATTTTGCCTATGAGTTCGTGTTCAACATTAAAATCCTCCATAAATTGGTATTTTCTACCATTCGCAAATATATCTACAATTAAGAATTTCGCGTGGATTTCTAGAAAATATGCCTCTTCGAAACTTTTCGAAAGATCTTTTATTATATTTTATGAATGACATGTAATACTAGCATTGTGCAATATTTTTTGTCATTCTGTAAGATAAATGAATAATAACCAGAGACGTTGAGACAAGAATACCAGCGTTAAGTGGTGTCGGAATAACAAACAAATGGGACAAAAGTGGTGTCATGTTTCAGATCTGTAAAAAATTAACAGACAACCGATACTTTATAGCTGTTTGAAAACGTCGCCTTACAGCTAACTATTCGTTCAAAAATTAAGTTAAATTTATATGTAATCGAACTCTTGAAATGAATCATCAAAGCTAAATCGACATAGTCCACTCACTAGTAAACTTGAACATTACAAATAAAGCTTGTCATCCATTTCTTAACACTGTCATCGAGAAAATCATTGTCCATTCCAGTTTATTTATCTTTAAGGTCATTGTTTAGTTTTAGTATCTCAAGTTTTTCATTAATTTATATAGTTTTTAAAAATTCTTACAAGAATTCAATACGCAGAAAAGAAAACAAATAACGAACAAACATGAATAGAATGATAGCTGTTTTTTCTTTGTTTTTTCATTTTTGTATATCTCAACGACAAAAGACGGACGAGAAGAAATAGAAAAGAAAAAGATAGACAGCAACACAAAAGAAAACAAAAAACACAAAATATGATGGGTTGTATAATTATATCGCTGTACAAAGATAAATAACGTATTAACTATCGACTGCTTATTAGAAAAATGTATGTTTGTTGTTGGAATATGTCTATGTACAAGACGAATTTGTAAAAGTAGGAAACATCTGTAGAGAATCTTTTAATGACGCCCATGAAAAACAAAATTACATAAAAAAAGTTTTCTTATATTTTCTAACACTGGCGCTCGTATTCTTAAACAAAAATAAAAAATGCAAAGATTTTTATGATTATAATGATAAGAATAGGCGTCGAAAATGACGCCTACAATTGTATGTGTGCGTGTGTGTGTGTGTATGTGTATGTATATATGTGTGTATGAAACGAAAACAACAACGAAATGATCAATACCTGTCTACAGGCATTGTTACTTAAAATCCACATACAAAAAAAATAAGTGACAAAAAAACAAAAACGAGAGAAAGCATTCTTCAAATATATGCGTGTGTATAAGGGACCAACACAACAAAACCTGAGAAAAAAAACGATTTTTTTTTGCTTGCACTGTTGTTTATCACCGTTCTTCTTCGTCGTTTAGATCATTACTATTTTCTGTTGTGGTTTCGACATTGTTGTTTCCATTTTGGTCTCTTTTACAAAATAGTTTAGTTTCCTGAACAGAAATATCTTCTATTGAATTATCATTGTCAGATCGATTACGTTTTCGAGACGAAGTAGACGAAGAGGATATTATTTCCTCTGATGACGAGGGTGTTTCTTCACTTCTACTATTTTCCGTTAATAATATATCATTTACGTCTGAATACTGATTATTATTATTATTATTTGAATTGTTTATATCATTAACAGTAGAATTTAGTGCATGATATAAAAGTTCTTCAGATTGTGTAATACTTTCGGTTGAAATCGATGACGATGAGGAGACACATGCACTTTGGTTTGACTCAAACAAATTATCATCGTTAGTTATCAAAATGGTATTTAGCATAATTTGCGGTTTTTTTACTACATGGTTCGTTAATGTCTCATTTATCTCAATATCTTCACCTCCACTTGTTTCTTCTTCTGCTTCATCTTCTAAAGTCGGATTTTGATCGTCTTCATCTGAGTCTTGATCTTGATATTGTGCAATATTTTGCAAACCAGGACTCTGCAAATAAATGCAATGTTAAAATCTAATGCTGTCTACTATGAACAGAAACTGCCTTCAATATTTACCATTGCGATGGAGGAGGATTCATTTGATGTCGATGGTCTTAGTGTGGATGACGAAGATGAGATATCTAGTCGAGGTGATGAATCATAACCGGTATTATTATGAATTCTATTCGTTACGGTTGTCGAATGATTTAAATTAGAGGGAGACGAAGATGGAGAATATGAAGTGTAATTAAGAACTGATGATGATTGACAAAATTGACCACCAGATGATATTGGTGCTGTCGAAGAATTTGGACGACGAATGTGAATACTGATTGTTGATTTAAGATGGTTTGGACGGCTATACGACGTGGAATTTCGTTGTTGTGATATCAATGATAGATCATCTTAATCCAAAAAAAAGTAAATAAATATTTTAGTAGAAAAGAGCAAATTTTATATACCTGTCGAATCCAAAGTTGTACTCGCTTGAGCATCATCTAAACCACTTTCATTACTATTGTCTAATGCTAAATCATGATTTTGTTGTTGCTGCTGATTATCGTTATTATCATCATCTTCATTAAACCAATTTTCTTCTTCGATATCCAAATCTCTCGCATCTTTACGAAGTCTTTGTTCTAATAATCGTGACACAATTGGTGTACCGCTAAAAACAAAAATGTCACTTTTTATTATGTAAAGTCACATATTCCTATTTCGTGTTTACCTGTCAATAAGTAAACGTTCTTTTTTATCACGATGTTGATCATAACGTATTTTCATTTCTTTAAATGTTTTAACATATGTTATTGATTCAAAATCGGAATAAAAGTTTTCAACAATATACATCAACAGTGTTTTCAGATCTTCCTATAAAAAATTTGTATTAGAAAAAAATTATATTAAAAACTAGGAAAAACAACTAGTTCGTACTTGTCGGATAAATTCGAAAAGTTCAATTAATGCAGAATTTAATAAATTATAACGTCTACCATTTGCTTTAAATGCTTCAACAACAGGTTGTAATAAATTATTACAAACAATGGCCAAATTATACTGTTCATCCTTAAGACCAATAATACGTCGAAGAAAACGAAGTGCACCTTGAGAAAAGAAAGAAAAGCAAAACGTTTGATATTTAGTCATCATTTTGAAGCGTAATGATTGCTTGAAGGCGAACTATCAAATATAGAAGAAAACACTACACTTCTTTTTCACGACGTGAATCTACATAATTCTATTTACTGCGTTACGAGATACTGAGTTTATCAATAGAATAAAACTTGCAAATAAGGCTCGATGATGAAATCTCTAATAACCCTGCAAATATGTCTGATCGGATCTGCTAGAATTGCAACAGATTTTGCGGTTTCTATTCTTTCTCCTATTGCTAGGAATCCGATTACTTGATCGGATTGGGCTGATTTCAGTTTGACTAATTCCGGATATCGGATCTAGTCGGATGCAACAAGATCGGATTCAATCGGATTTCGTTAAACTCAGATACGGATCCAACAGATTTCTACAAGATTCTACCTGGACAATCCTCTAAAAAACATTTCTTAATTGCTATGAATGATGTAGGTATCTCTCACTGAACACGCAGATATAAAACAGTCGATTTCCAAAATGAATGAACATACTAAGTTGTAAAAATTGATGTTTTGATTTCAATAAAACGAGTACACGTCTCAATAAATCTTTTTTATTCAGAAAATTACGCATATGATGTGCGTGGTGTTCAACACAAAATGTAGCAAAATCAAGTATCAAATTTTGTAATTGTGCCGTATGAAAATCATCTAAAGAAAAAGAACATACGTTATGACAGTGAATTATCAGTAAGGTAATAAAACATGCGTACCACGACCCAATTTTAAATCACTGGTATTGGCCATTAATGGTGTTAATAATACAGACATGGAACGATTGTAGAAAAAAAATAAAAACTCGGTTTTTCCAATCTAAATTTAAAATAAAACTTGAAAGAAACGTTTAAATACAAATTTTGAAAAAAAAGATACCTGTGTAGCTAACATGCCATCTGGATCGATTAACAATTTTAAATTGTTCATAAGATTCAATGCTCCACTCAGTTCTAAAAGAATAGATCCTATTGGCTTACTTCGATGGCAAAAAAGTCAGCATACCTGGATCAGGATCACTTCTTATTTCACTAATGACTAAATTCAATAATAATTCGTCATCATCTTGTGTTGCTTGTGTTTCATGTAGCATATATTCTCTTACTGTTGATGGATTACATTCAACAATTGATGCAAATACATCTAATGCTGCTTGTTTAATGGTAATATCATCTAAACTCTAGAAAAATCCTAAATGTTGAAAATATTTTCTTTTTTTAAGTATGTTTTCTCATTTACCAGCATTAGTTGAATTACACCCAGTATTCCTTGACTAGCTAATGCCTAAAATAAAGCCAAAACAGTATTAGAAAAAAAAGATAATATCATAATTATGAACTTACTTGAAAAAATGCATCGCGATTTATTTGTTGTAATGTTTGTGAAAAGACGCAAAATTCTTTTAGAAATAACATCAAATCTTTACGTTTTTCATCTGATTCATTTTCATCTTTCAATGTGGAAAATAACTGGGTTAAAAATTTGGGATCTTCCTACAGAAAGGAACAAGCAAAAATAGTAAAATGTAAAAGTAACATAACACAAATAGACACCCTATCGATACTGAATTCTGTAGTATACAGGAACGAACCAGAATAATATCTGCTAAAAAAGAATTGTTTCTGATTAAAACTTATAGTAGTAAGACTAAATAGCTCGTATTTTTTCGACGCTAGAGTGACAAAATGGATAGCAGACACGATATCTTTACTTAAGAAACTAAATAATAGTCAATAGAACATGCTGTCCCTCACTTATGAAAGATTTCGTTTTAAAGTCAATATACGTACATATAGTAGAGTTACAATTTCAACTTTATTAAAAAAAAGAAATGAATTCATTGTCGATAATAAATTTTCTTCGAATAGTGCCGGTGCCGGTAATATTGCATCTTGAATATATTGTATACGATATGTTTGATGTATTTTTGATATTAATTCTTTACAAATGGGTATGACTTCTTTAAATGTTGCTTTACTATCTAAAAATTCACGATGTTTCAATTCATTTTGCTGTTGTTGTGTTTTATTTGGATCATATTCTAAACATCCAATAACGTCTAGAATCAATTCGTCACTAAATAGTATTTCAAATAATGAACTTTTATTCAGATAAAATATTCCACGAATAATATGATATAGATAATGTAAACATTCAATATTTTCTAGATCCTCACATTGATGAAATAGATCGATTAATTTTTTTACATAATCATTCATCTCAATTGAACGTGCTAAACTGTCACGTCGTGATGCATCACGCACTTTTTCTGATTGAAATAAATCAGCTATTTCTCGTATGTGAGCTAAATCGACTGATGGTAAACTGATTGTCGTATTTAAAAAATTTTCATTGGATTCTGCTGCACATGATTCATCATCACTCTCATAAATTGATGTTGGATCGGCAGCAATAAACGAAGAGTCTTTACCTTGTACCTTTAACAATCAGAATTAAAGACGATAGATAACGAAAAATGAGTGAAATAGAAAACCTACTTCACAAATATTTTCCCAAATATCATCACATCCAGCTTTTTCTTGAAAACTCAGTGCTAAGTCAAATTTTTCTCCTTCTGACCATACAATCAATGTTTCCTAAATGATAAAAAATATTATTGACTGAATTAAGAAAATTCAGTGTTGATCGTACTTGTTGTTTTTGATATTTGGTATTCAACAGAATTTTTGAGTCTAATAATATTGATCCTGCAATATAAAACAAAACAACTAAATCCAAATTATTTTTGCAAATTATTAACCCTTATCAATCATACCGTCTACTTCGGATTTAACAATAATTGAATAACTATGATTATGTACACGATCATTTGGTGCCATACACGTCACATAACCAGTACCTCGATCATCCCACTGCCGTTCTTCATTTAATGTGTATAGTTTTACGCGGCGACGAGTACCTCCAGCGTCAGTCATTTCGAAAACAAAGCAGTAAAAGAGGACTCAATAGAACACCCAACCTTATATTATTTTATGCTATCCAGTCTAAAAATGAAGAATTTGCTTTATGAACAAAAGCATTTTGAACTTTTTTTAAATGGAACTTAATCTTAGCTATTTGTGTAAAAAACTGAGAAAATAATATTTGAAACAAGAAATGGAAAAAATACTGCCGTCATCGAGAATGTCAGATGTATAAAACAATCCAATAGAAAGTATGAATGAAACCACAACAAAGAAGCATTAAGCGTTTCTGTACAATCCTATTAGTTCAATTTTGATATGAGTAAACAATATATGAAGAAATGGTAATATTGCCAAGATTATTTCTCTTAGTATCTACGTTTTTAATATTTACGCATTTGGCTGAGAGTGATCCATTATTTGCTACATGTCCTGTCCAACGCTACACGAAAAAGAGAAGGTAGTATAGCATATACAAGACTTTAACATTAATCAACTAATCAAATACTTTTGAACTTTTTAATTGAAACTTGAAATAAAATAAAGTAAAGGGATTATCGGTGTTTTCCTTGCATAGAACTAGTAGAAGTTTATTATCTGTGTGAAAAACTCGATTATTTCTCAACATTTTTTGTAAATCTTTTTGCATTTTGATTGAGAAGGAATTTCTGTTTGTAGCCTCAACATCTATAGTCAGAAAGCTTTACTCACCACGTAAAATATTTGAAAGAATTTCTGACAGTTGAAAAATAACAGAGGTGATGAGAGAATGGTAATTGCACAAATAAGTGGGCGTAACTTTTTTTTGTTTCTTGATCACTCATCTTCAATGCATCAAAATCAAGAAAGATGAATCAAATTTTTTTTATAAAGCAAATAAACATTTCCGCAACAACTGGTGAAACGCCTAACCGCCATTTTCTCTGACGTTGGAGAACACATCTGGTGGAGATATACTTTTATCTTGTCCGAGATCATAAAAAGATAGTTGGTTTTCAGTTTTCATCCTATAAAGATATCTGAACTATTTCAGATCATACAGTATCATACAGAGTCAGTTACTCGGTAATCAATGACTTAATTTACCTGATGATCAGAATGTTGAACGATTTCTCTATCTTTTTCGTCTTGCCTTCAAAATTCGGAAAATTTACTAGCATTTTTTTAAACATTGCTTTATCAGCGTTTCGGATTAGACGGAGAAGTGGAGGACCTTCCAACCATAAATGTTGACACTGTCCGCCAAACTTTTGAAGTTTGTTTTCTGCCTTCTTTTAAATTCTGATTGTGCATCAGAATAACTGGCAGACAGTCTTTTAAATTCTTTATTGTTGGGTGAAACGAAGTTGAACGGTTTTTTAGCACACTTCGTCGAGTGAAAACATGGACACGAAATCGTATGGGAGACGTGACCCTCGAAACATGTATCAAAGCTTCGAGTTTACAACTTTCATTAACCCCAGAAGCTACTAATTTTGTTATAAAAGACTTTATTTCTCGTCCAGGTCGAGCCAAAGAACGAAATATATCGTTATTTCTAGAGAACGACTTAGATGAATATTAAATATTGTTCTCGTTGAAAAAAGAAATTCTGATACGGAGTAACAAAAAATTCTTTTCAATTAACGGTTGTTTCACTTATTGAGGAAAAAACTATCCGCCGACTTTCTAAAAAGACTGTCTACCCAAGAAATCTCCCCCCCTGATTAAAAAGAATCAGAAAGCCTGTGCTTTATGACGTGAATAGCGCGATGAATGGCCATTGATTGTCATAGTTTTAACGTTCATCGGTCAGTAGTTAGTGGTCATCCGATCACTAACACCCGGTATTGTGTTTTATTTTATTTTAGATCGAAGAAAACAGCAAATATGAAAAAAAAACTTCTCTAAACTAAATGTTAGCTTTTTGTTTATGTTAGTTTAATTAGTTGTAAGTTCAAGTGATGTTCGTGTTTGTTTTTATACTGACCACTTCTAGGAATTACATTCAATCAGAAATGTACAAGAATCTTTGTCTGTAGCTCTTTTTTTACTCTCGTGAACAACAGATTGATAAATCACAAGTAAATTTTATAGTGATGACACGATATGCTTTTTGTAGATAATTTTAATATGGGCAATACCGATTCCAAAGTTGATTTTCGCGTAGCCGTTGTTCAACTAACGTCTCGTAGTCAAGTATGTCATTATTTTGTGTTGCTGTTCTACTATAAATTGTTAATTTTTTTCTTCTAGCAAATTGAGGATGAATCATTTTGGGATCAGTTTTGGTCAGATAAAATCTCTAGTGTGCAAGATATCTTTGCATTAATACCGGCAGGTATGTCACTTTTATAAAATAGTGTAAAATAAAATTAAAAAATGAATTGTTCCGTCTGTTTCTTTAGCTGAAATTCGTGCATTAAGAGAAGAAACACCATCAAATTTAGCCACATTATGCATTAAAGTTGTTGATCGTCTAGTACAAGCAGCTGAACATTCCTGTCAAACTCAACGTGATCAAAGTGCAGGTAAACTAGACCGTTTCTTTCCACTCTGTCAGTTTGAAGAAAAATATGGTTTACATTCAGCTATCAATTGTGTCCGATTATTAACGCGTTTATTACCGTATATTTTCGAAGAACCAGAGTGGCGTGGCTTCTTTTGGTCAGATGTTCCGAGTAAACCATCTCAAAATGCACGAAATGAAAATGAGGTAAACATTTGCTTGGAAGTGTATATGAGTATGAAAACCTTTCATTATATTTCTGTTGTTTTGTTATATCGCAGGATTTTGTCAGTAAGCCACCATTAGCCGAACGCTTGCTTCAAACACTATCAGTAAGTGATCCATAGTTTTATATTGAATAAAACTGTGTCATATAAAATATTGTTTTCTACAGGATTTATTGTTTTGTCCTGATTTTACCGTTGCATCGAAGAAAAAGAAAGGCCCTGTAAGTAATATTGTCGTTTTTTTGTTTGTCCTGTCTGTCTATCTTTTCTGTTTTGAAGGAAAATCCAGAAGATATACATACAATCGATAGTTGTGAATATATTTGGGAAGCCGGTGTTGGATTTGCTCATTCACCTGCGCATTATCCACAAAATGATCGAAATCGTGCAGAAATATTAAAATTGCTATTAACATGTTTTTCCGAAGCAATCTATATGGCACCGTCAAGTAATTATGGTTTCCTCGCATTGTGTTATAGTAAAACTATTATGATTTTGTCATAAGAACCGCAAGATTTTAGAATAATTTGATGTAACTATTGAAAATCTTGCATTATATAAAGAGTATCGGAGATGTAACTGGATAATCTTTGTAAATATTTCTTTTTTGGCAGTTGATCTTCATTCTCAACCAAACAAATGGCTGGCTTATTTCACGTCGGGCAACAATAGGTGAATCTATTGTTTCTTTGTTAGTTTTTAAAAACCTGTTGATCACATTTTTATTTACATTGGTTTTGAACTACTTCTGTTTAGACAAACATTACCATTATTTACGTCATTATTGAATATTGTATTTTCATATGATCCTGTTGGTTATTTACCATATAATTATCTTTTATTTACTGATACACGTGAACCATTAGTTGAGGTTGCTGCCCAAGTGTTATGTGTTGCACTTGACAGTACAGCATTTTCAGATGGCAATATATCATCGAATGTAGAATACACAACACCAACAGTCAAAGCCGTTACTTCTTCAGATAGTCAGAAAATGTCTACTTCTATAAATTCTTTATCATCAACTCCAGACGAATGTTCAAATTTATTTGTCAATTATTTGTCAAGAATACATCGTGATGAGGTTAACAAATGGCAAACTAGCATTTATTTATTTTTATAATTTATTCTTGTTTTAGGATTTTGCATTTTTATTAAAAGGTTTTTGTCGCTTATTAAACAATCCACTAATACAAACTTATCTACCTGGTTCATGTAAAAAAATTGGTTTTCATCAAGAACTATTGATATTATTTTGGAAATTTTGTGACAGAAATAAAGTAAGTAGGTTTCATCGCTGTTAAATCGTTATGATATTTCTTCGTCTGGAGAGTTTCTTTCAGTGTTTCTGCCCTTACACATTGGCGAGCGTTATTACTGATTTCGCACTTGATCTGCCTTTTTTTATGTTAAAAAAACAACTGTGTCTAGTATTTTTCTTAATTCCTCCAATGTCATTCTTTATCTAATGAGTCAATAATTTTTTTCATTTTTTTAGAAATTTCTTTATTATGTACTCAAAAGTAGCGAGGTGCTTGATATCCTCATCCCTATTCTTTATTATTTAAACGATGCACGATCAGACACTCGTAAGTCGTCACTGTTTTCTTGATCTGAGGGAAGTTTTAATGGATTATTTATTTGTATTTTAGGCAGAGTTGGTTTGATGCATATTGGAGTTTTTATTCTATTGTTGTTAAGTGGAGAACGAAATTTTGGTGTAAGATTAAATAAACCGTATCAAACTCGTGTTCCGATGGATATACCTATTTTTACTGGCACGCATGCTGATTTACTCATTATTGTAGGTATTTTTTTGAAATAAGCAGTTTAGCTGAATAACTAGAAAAGTTATTATTTCCTTTTTTTGTTAAGGTTTTTCATAAAATTATTGTGTCCGCCCATCAACGTCTTCAACCGCTCTACGATTGCCTCTTAACAATAATCGTTAATATATCACCCTATTTAAAAAGTTTATCAATGGTATCAAGCAATAAACTTTTGCATTTACTTGAGGTAACTTTTGAACTAATCTTTGGATTTCTAAAGCTTTTAAATGACTCAGTCGTTTATCTATTTCAGGCTTTTAGTTCATCTTGGTTCTTATTTTCTGCAGCGGAAAATCATCATTTGGTATTCTTTCTATTGGAAGTATTTAATAATTTAATACAGTATCAGTTTGATGGTAGGTAACTAAAAAGCATATCTTTTATTCAGTGATGTACCTCCTCAAGCGACTTAGTTTGTTCTATAATAAATCGACTTATTCATTATTCTCACAATATTCCGGTTCAAATAAATTTGCTTAAATATATTTTATTTTATTTTATTTTATTTTAGGCAATGCTAATCTTGTCTACACAGTCATTCGGAAACGTCAAATATTTTTCTCACTTAGTAATTTGGCAACTGATTCGCATTCCATAAGTAAATTATGTTCAAAAACAAACAATAGTGGCAGTGGCACTAATACTTCTAGTAAAAAAGACAATCATTCACCTCAACAACTATCGATGACAACAATCAATGCATTTTCTCCATCAAGGTCATCTTTTAGCATAGATGGGGAGACAAAAATTAATAAAGAGCAACCAACAGAACAACAACAAACAGCTGCAACTACAGGAACTAATAATAGCAATTCCATGACTACTTCACTAGCTGAAACACCTTGTAAACTAAACTAAAAATATGAATATCTTGGTATTTAGATATCTTTCTTGTTTTTTCTTTCAGCAATTCATAAAATGACTGAACGAACATTAGCTGCATCTCCGACCTTTGATCATTCTTCACCGTCAGCATCTCCTAATCAAACACAACAAACATCTTTGACTGCAAATGAATCTCCAAATGAAAATATAACGGCATTATCGGATGCTAAAACTGATAATAGAGTAAATATGAAGTTTTCAAACTTTTGACAGAAGTACTTTTATTTTGAATGATATAGGCATTAAATCATTCACGTCCATCATCACCTTTATCGATCGTGAGTCCAGAAGGAAGTATAAATGTGGAATGGACTGCAACGTCGGAATGGGTAAATATTAGCGCTTTTAATCTTATTTTATTAACTAACTGTTAATCAAATTTGATGTTTTTCAGGCACACAGTTGGAAACAAAAATTACCATTACAAACAATAATGCGTTTATTACAAGTATTAGTACCACAAGTTGAAAAAATATGTATGGATCGTGGTTTAACCGATGAAGGTGAAATAATTAAATTTCTACAGCATGGTACATTAGTAGGATTATTACCGGTACCACATCCAATACTGATAAGAAAATATCAGCCAAATTCTGGTACTGTTATGTGGTTCAGAACATACATGTGGGGCGTTGTTTATCTTAGGTAGGATAGTTCAATTAATCTAGTCTTTAAATCAAGAAATAGTACATCAAATTTTTTTGTTTAATTCTGTCTGACAAAAATTTTGATGAAGTATTCTCGTATATTTATGATAGATGATGTAGTTTTTATTCTTCTATTTCCAGGAATGTAGATCCACCGATATGGTATGATACGGATGTGAAATTATTTGAAATTCAACGTGTATAAATCATAATCACATGTTATCAGTATGTACGGTTGAGCATGGGCTATTTTCTGATGCTTTTATCTTTATTTTTTAATCGTATTTGTACGATTTATCTTGAATATATTGCATAAATACCGTGTTTCACCGACAGTTTTATATTTTTCTTTTGGCGTGGTTATTAGAGTAAATTGTTTTTATTGTTGTTGTTATTTTTAAAATATTTATCGTATTATTTATTCTCATGGATTTTTGTGTCTTGTTATTATCGTTTTATGTTTGGGGTATTGAATTCTTATTCCCAAAGTATAAAACTGTAAAGTTTCTGTAGTCATCTCTATTTTGATTGTTTGTGTATGTGAAATTTTTTTGATTTTATCTTTTAAACTTATATGACTGACTGTTCTTTTTGTATCACTGTGACGACATTTTAAGTTAAACGAATAAAAAACGTAAAAACTGAAACTGATACTATGTCTGCTCATCTATCATGAATGATCAACCACGAGTTACGACTATTATTTACAATAGTGAAGCATAGCGTCCGTAAAGTATATCCCCCTTGAAATCAAGTTTGTTCTTGCTAAATAAACTGACTCATGATCTTTCTGAGAGAATCTAGAAACTGTATTCGTTTGCTCCAAAACCACGTTTATTGATGGACTTTCTCTATATATACTGAAGTACTCATGGTGGCCATAAATGCCGTATTTATTACAGTTTTACAACAGTTGTTGGTAGGCCAACAGTGATGGCGGAAATCTTCAACCAGATAAGTTTTGTTGGATGTACATGCACCTAGTACCTGATGACTTCCTCTAATAGCCAGATAAACAGGTATAGTAGGAAAACATATTCGTTGGTTTATTTCTCTCAAACATTATATCTGCTGTGTCAATGTTTTAATGTGGATTTTGCTCTCTCGTCATTCCTAAAACATGACCCAAGATAAAATTAGTTCTCTTACTCTTCATCATCACCAAAACGCTTAAAGTAAAATCTATGCCATAGGTTGTACTACGTCGGACTTTACAATCGTGTAAAACACGATATCTATCTGTATGAGAAAGCGAACTCTT